CAAATTCCTACAAACATATAATTCACAAAATAACTATCATTTAATTAAAATATAATTAAATTAAAAAACACTACTTAAAATATAAATAAGCACATACATTAAATTAATAAAAATTAGCTTACAATCCTAACTACTTTAAACTAAATCATTGCTAATAACAATTTTCCAATAATACCATATTACTTTATTTACTCCTTACATTTAGAACAATGCATAAAAATAATATCCTCAAATAATTAAAAATACTAACTTACTACCTAATCTTCTTCAGAATCTTGATTACGTGGCGGATACACTTTTCTAATTCATTCAAATAAAATTATTGAAAGATTTTTTCTGCGAATTTTTCCTCCATACTTCCTCCGCTAAATAAAAAGCAAATTTTTCTTTATCACAATGCCTAAATACCCATTTCGAATTCACTTTAGTTAGGTCCATGGGATCCAAAAATTAACCAACCCTGTTTCACACAACACAGAATAAAGCTAAATACAAAATTTCCAGATTTTTTCCAGATTTCCCCCCTTTTCCGATTAAAGAACTGTAATTCGTCCATTAATGTCACATGACATATCTCATGATCTCTCATTTCCCTCGCACAAAATAATGCGTAATCGGAACTGAGTACTTCTCACATTATTACCAAAGTCCTAGGTAGTAACCTTTATCGCCTCCAAAATGTCGCCATACTACCAGTTACCATATTCCAAAGATCAGCCCATGATTTAATTGGCAATAAATAAATGAATGCGTTATCTTTGTTGTTGCGAAGTTAAGTTTCTCTAGATTGGCAACAAATCCACTAGTCTCCTGTTTCAAATGTAAACATCAATGGCTGCTATAAAAAAAAAGGGCTTAGAGGCATTTAGACAACTTTAAATTGTTGATAATTCTAAAAAATTGCATACAGATTTACTAAAGGCATAAAAATCTTAACCGGAAGATAAAAACAACATAATACAATCATTTTTAAAGCAAAAAATGTACAATTTACAAACATATAAGCGTAAAGAAACTGAGATCACTGAGCCGGGTAACAGAGTGGATATATATATATATATATATATATAAATATATTTATATACGTTTGCAGCCGATTGCAACCAAAATACGAGGTGCACATCTACATGTTATAACAGTCCTATATACAAAATTTCAACGTTCTGAGGCTACTCGTTTTTGAGTTATGCGAGATACGTACAGACGCCACGAAAAATTTTCTTCAGAATTAATTTTAAAGCAGTTTTATAATTTTTTTGAAGGAAAAGAGTATTTTATTCTGTCCTTACGTACAGATATCACGCAAAAACATCGTTAAATTGCATTCGATAGCGGTCAAAATGGATATTTTCGTTGAAATATGCTGCCTGAAACTTTTCGCGATTACAATACTTCCTTTTTACTTCGTACAAGGAAGTAAAAAGCTTCGGTTAGAGTTAAATCCCTGAACATTTTCCCTATATTTTAAATTTTGAAAGTGCTAAATTTACCCTGTTCAGTTCTAAGAAAATATATACAGATGAAAGAAAGAACTGGTAATAATTTTCCCCCCCTTCTAGTGTAGTTACGAACGGGGTATAGTTTATAGACTGGAATTTTACTTGCATAAGTATTCTGAATTTTCATTTCATCTGATAATTATTCAATATTTCCATAATTAAAACACTTGTTTAGATAGAGCACTTGAATATTTGTAAGCGATATAGTAATATCATTTCTTAAAACATGCTTACTTTACATAATGTGAGCATGTTTTACTCTCACTTTACATAATGTGAGAACAGGAATTTTTAGAATTCGTAATATATTTAAGAAAATAACCGATAAAAAATTACTAGCATTATTACACTTCTCCCAGGAAACATAGCTGGCGACAAAGTGACTGAGCCCATCCCCCTTTCTAGGAAAATAAAGTTTATATTCCACAAACCTTACGCATACTCATTGTCAACTTGCAGATCAAATTGCTTTGATTTTTGAACACCCCTGATTAGGAATTTAGTTTAATCCATGTGAAACTCAAGTTTCATAACATCAAAGAGTCTTTTATTCACACTTCCTGTTTATGTTAATAAAGTCAGAATTTATAATTTAATTTAATTTTTAATGATTGTAATATTAAGCCATCATTATACATTTAATTCAAAATAATGAATAGCAACTAATATTTTACGAGCAAACTACGTTGTCTGATACGGCTCAACATAACTGCCTCTTCTCTAAGCGGCAGGCCACAAATAGGATCAGTTTTTCGATAGATGATATGTCCAATGGTTAGCAATCACTGAATGTTAACGGAAATTTACTAATACACAATTATACTTTTAGCGAATCAGCTACATTCTAAATGGAAGTGAGACTATATTTTACAAATCACGGAAGAAATGACGTGGCAAAAAACATTAAAATAATACGCAGCGTTAAGATTTAAACTTTCCAATCTGCACGTAAATCTTAGTGTTCTTGTCAGTCTCTGCATCCTCTCTTACTAATGATTTAAAAAGAGTAGGCTATAATGGAATTTAGTAAATCCGCATTGGTTTTGCAATATTTCTAGCTCCTCGGACTGTTTGGTTAAATTGCAGTATTTATTTACACAGTTGGCTTATATTTGGTTAATATAATTAATCATTGCCTTCTTGGCTTTACAAATTTTACGAAGTTAATCCTCCATTAATGGTAATATTAATGTTCAAGAGGAGTGGAAGAAGGGGAGCTGAAATATTCCTAGAAATCGTACAGAACCAAAAAGGGCTTAAGATAACGCAGGTCTATAGAGTATTTTCTAATTCATTCAGATTATAATTCATCAATATTCAAATGTTAAAACATTTGTGAGAGAATTGTACCGAGCACACAGCAGACTGATTCAAGATTTCTCACACACATGATCCAAGTGCCAACAAAATGTATTTTACATGTTCAAGCCCCTACTAGTAAAAAGACACGACACCTAGCATTTTGATATATGGATGAATGAGGAACACTGTGGAAGAAAAGGATCCGCCTAACATGTCTAATTCTTCCCAAAAAATCCAAGATTCAGATGGTTAATACTCCTTAAAATTATACATTTTTGTAATTTTTTACGTTTTAACTTTGAAGTCAGATACACCAACCAAACTTAAACGAAAAACAACAACAACAACAAAAAACACAGTTTTATCCTTACTTCTCCAACTTGCGCCAAACATCAATATTTATTATAAGGAACTAGGAATATATTATTATTCATCTTTTTTATACAGCAGATTAAATTTATGAAATAAACTTAAATGTTATATTGTATCATAATTTTAAATCCTTATATGAGCACTTCTTATCTCAAATGGTTGCCGGTGTTTTACTCCAACTTTCTTATCCAAGATAGCATCGGTTTACATAGCTATAGTTACACTCCAGATTCTTAGAGATCTCTTTACACGCTGCGGATTAGCAGAGATGTCTTTAATGACCTTAAACCTTTACATCAGAGTAGGAAGAAATTGCGATTTTGATGAAATAAATCGCTGCTCGTATGACAAATTAAGAGATTTAAATAATAATAATAGTTTAAATAACTATAAATAGCGACAAAGGATGTGAACTTTATGTGCACATTCATTTCTCCGTACATTCACACTTTCTCTTAATAATTAACCCACAGCGTGCAACACAATAAGAAAACAATGAATCTCCTCTCCGGCTCTTTTCACTTATAGACGTTTGCTACGTAATTCTACAGTAACCTTTATCTATCCTAGAAGTCAAATTAAAACGGTTAATTAATTGCATAGAAATCAATTATTCTCAAAATGAAATGCATGCCAAACTGTTTTATACGATTTTCGCGAAAACCAGATTTTGAGATTCATAGTTTGAAGATAGTGCCACAATATCATATTCAATATTTTCCAGTGTTACAAAATAACCTAAAAAGATAATGCATCCACGTAGTACACAATTATGGTGATTTACAGCCATGTCCAATGTTATCAAAAAGTGACTGCTGCAGAAAACTTGAGAGATAAGCTAAGAGTTTAATTACCAAGGAATAATTTAAGACATTAAATCAAAACATTTCGCTAAAATTACAAGAAATTTAATTATTTTCAATTAAAATAAAGTTTATAGCTTTCCACAGTTGAAAAAAATTCAACATTAAAAAGATATTTTTTCCATCACGAAGGCCAAACCGTCGGAAGAAACGTAAGCATTCAGTACGAAGTATTAACGTTAAATTAACGCACAGATAATTCCATTCTTTATTTCCTTCCACAAGACGTACCTTTTGAAATACTGCAATACCTCGCATAAGTTTCTGAACTGACCCATCTCCTTGGGAAAATGCATAGTGTTTTATTTCAAAGAATTTACAGTATATAACTATTTGTTAACAAAAAAAAAAAAAAAAAAAAAAAAAAAAAACTTACTTAAAAGAGGAAGATTTAAAAAATTGGGTTACCTTCCCTAAACCTTTACTTTAAAGATATGGCTAGCTTAATAATAAATATAAATTACACCAACGGTAAGAGGAAAAACTATAAAATATATTTTCCATGTTGTACATAACTCACCACAAAACATCTTAAAGGAAGAAAATCTATCTACCTTTGTATTTAAAGCAAAGTAGTCCTGAGGATAACCGCAAGGACGTTCGAAAGATAATGCTAAGTACCTGAATATTTTTTTTTTTTTCTTTATCGCGTTATTTAAATCTTCAATTAATAATTCAATTTTAAGCATATTTCTTTAAATTTTATTACATAATGTGATCAGAGACAAAAATCGTTACACACACAGAACTTATTATACATATACATTAATTTTTAACTATAAAATATATAACTCGTACATTTCTACTTTTCTGTAAAAGAACTTTTATGTCTAGTAATATACCGTAACGTAACATGAGAATCGCCAATCACCGGCTGGTACATTTTACATTTCGATAAAGTAGCATGAGAGACTAAATAGAATTCCTTTTACTTTATACTAGATATAGAGAATCCCAGTCTTACCGGATTCTTGTAATGTAATCCTGGTGCATTTTTCACAGGGGCAACTAACGCAGCAATACTACCTTCGGCCATGATAATTTCAGAGCTGATGAATGAAGTAAGGTCTGCTGCTTCTACCTACTGCATTTGGCATACGTGAACAGAGTGTTTATCGCCAGTTTACCCAACTTATCGCCAAGGTTTTCGCCAATAAGAATGCAGACCACTGTACGGATTGTCTTCAGGAAAAAAAAAAAAAAAAAAAAAACGTTTCGTGTTAAAAAGAGAGAGCGGTAATGTGAAAAAATAATGCGGAGGTGCATAACCCGTAGACCGCGAAGGATGCGCATGATTTCTTCAGAGAACTTTCCACATAAATTTTTTATGTGTTAAGTTTAACTTTGTCTAGGTACGGCAGATGATAAAATTAGAAGGGTTTTCTCTAGAATTTATTGTAACCTGTCTGCTAAAGAGGAATAACCGTCACAAGTAATGTAATACTGTAAACGAAGCGGAAATATTTAATCATCGCTTTTTACTATTTGTTGAGTTAGTTATTCCGTTGGAGCTTTTTTCGGGTATTTGAACGAGGCAAAATACGTAAAACCAGCGTTCATTAAGAGGCACTAAGGTGCAGTAGGCTTCGGTATCTCCTGGGGTCTATATTCCTAGTTTACACGAGGAATGAAAAAGTTTCACTTTAATCTGCATAAGTAATTTTGCATGCATAAAATTAAATATTTTATCAGTTTATATTTAATTCTTTTTCATCAGTTATGGCAAAACACATTACGATTATTTGCTTTCGAGGAAGACTTTATAAGGGAATATATAGGTAGGTCATTACATTACACACAGGGAAAAAAAAAACATTAAAATGTCCATGCAACCAGCCCACTCGCTGGAATTCCAATCCGGATCCTAGTGTTTAATGGTATTGTGCTTCGGCCAGTGGTGAACCACTTTTAATTTTACATCATTCTCAAATTTATAGTCTTCAGTTACATGAATTATGCCATAAGTTTTAATTAGCGAAAGTTAATGATGATTTTAGAAGCTCTTAAAGTTTATGATCTTAAAATTGGCAGAAAATTAGGTCTTGTGTGAGAACTGAAATACGTATGGTAAAGAATGCTTTCTAGGAGGATTTTCCAAGAAAAGTATATCCTTTCAAAATTTCTTCAGGATGTTATTCCTAGTAGGCGTGAGTTTGTAATTAATCTTGCAGTTGAAGAAAGTCACGAAAAGCTCAGGCAGACATTCCTTTTACATCTATACAGAGCCGCCCAGATGGTATAGTGGTTAGGGGAGTTTACTGCGGTACCGAAGGTCCTGGTTTCGAATTCCGGAGAAGGCATGGATGTTTGTAAATATATAGTGTCTTTGCCGCATGGGGTCACTCTAAATATATAGCTAGCCGAAAGTTCTCTTGTCAGGTTGGTGGTAGGGGAAGAGGGGTGGGAGACCCCCGGACCCGTCCTCCGGGGTACTCTCCATCAAAATTGGGGGGGGGGAGTTAAGCAAAGTCGTGCTGTCACCTGTATGATGTTCAAGGTTCTTGCCAACGACAGATGCAATCTTGCTCTTTTTGCCATGATGAATTTCGTAGGCTTGTTCTGATGTTACTGTCAGACAAGTGAGAAAAGTCACAACTCCACAACAATAACATCTATACAAGGAACACATTCATTCTATACAGGGAACGGTTATTTTGGTTTCTGGTTTATTTAATTATGGCAAAGTAGTCGAGCGCTATCTGTCTAAGAGGACGGATGCCTTCATGGAGGGCTTTATAAGGGAAACTAGCTTGTATACAAGTTACAGATGGGGAAAACCACGAAAACGCTCATGCAGCCAGTCCGTTCGCCGGGATTTGAAACTCCGGACGAATTACCAGTTTCAGCGACTTTACCATTTCGCCACTGGTAGACTGTACAGCAAACGGAATTCAGGACCAGATATTCAGTGTTTAGCCTCTTTTATACACTGGGCCGCTTATACTTCTCAGAAAAAATTTATTAATTCACTATTTAGCAATTTATTTGCTACTAAAATATATTTTGAATAAAATGAATTGATTATAAATGATTGGATTAAATTTGATTATTTAATTGTGACAAAGTACATTAGGGCTGTCTGTGTATGGGACAGGATGCTTCCGTGGAAGAAGGTAAACTCTCCTGTGATTCCGTTGCGAATGAGAAAAATTACAAAATCTTCATGCATCTAGGCTTTATATCGCCGGAAGTAGACCCGACAGGTGTATCCCGGGCAGGAGCTTCTAGTGAGTGTGCACTTACCAGTGCAGCGTGATCTACTCGTGTCTTATAAATTTTGAGCCAGTTTATGGAAATATAAATGCGAGTGAAGTTTTAAATAAAGCGAAAGTTTATTATATCAGTAAAGGATCTATGGGCATTCATATCTATTGCATCTTATTTCATTTGTTTGTATACATAGAAAGAGAGATCTATATATAGAATGTTATATAAGCCTTTTATTAAATTTCAAAATATTAGTAAGGTTAATTTTTTAAAATTATTATCATCATTTGACTGCGAATAACTCAAATTAAGTATCCAAATTTCATATTGTATAGAAAAGTTTGAAATTTAGCATTAAATTTGCTCATACTTTTCTTTTGCTTCATAGAAATTTCTGTTATATGATTGAAATTCAAGGTTAAATCTCTTCCCAGATTTGTAACACCTCTGTCACATTATCAGTGAACACCTAAGGGAAAAAACCGAAACATTCTTTCTTTGCAATCAAAGATCTAGTCCCAGAATATCTAAATACTTTATGAAGTACTACTTAACAGAATATTTAGTTACAATGCAGAGGTTACGTCAAATTATTTTGTTTTCTGAACGCAGTCTTTATTCAGAGCAGAAAAGATGGCTTGGTTTGGTTTGGTTTACTTAATTACTGTAAAGCAATCGAGGGCTATCTGCATAAGGAAAGGGATGCCTTCGTGGAGGACGTTTTAAAAGAAACTGGCTCGTATACATGTAAGCAAAACCACAAAAACTCCCATGCAGCCAGCCCGTTAGCCAGTAGTTGAGTGTGCGTGTGATTATGGCAAAGCCTCAAGGGCTATCTGCCTAAGGGAAGGGATGCCTTCGTGGAGGACTTTCTAAGAAAACGGATCGTATATACGATACCAGGGGAAACCACGAAACTCCAGGAGCAGAGAGCGCGGGATTCGAACCTCGGACCGAACTACCAGTGTTCAGCCGCTGGTAGGCTTAAAGCAGAGAAGGGAAACATAATTCTGAAATAACATATGCAAGTTGCCGTGAAAAGCAAAGGCAGACCAAAAGTTAAATAATGTTTATTCTTACTTTCTTCTTTTGAGATACAAATTAAATAAATATACAACTTATTCAACGATGGATACCTTTCTCCATTAAATTCGTTCAGAGACGCATCAGCAGTAAGTTAACCAAAATTATACTTTAGCAAATATCCCGCAACATATAACAACAGCTTGAGTTCTCTATTTTCCCTTGTTAAAAGTCATATTAGTAAAAGACAGCAAGTAATTGCGTTATAACCCGTATTTTTATCATTCTCTCCATCCTTTTTTAAATTATTAGCCCAAAAGGGCAAGTTGCCCAGAAGAGCTATTAATTTCATTTTGGCATTTTGTATTGGTTCACTGTTGAATTCTAAATCACTTTTTAAATTATTGCCACCAAATATTACAGCCTGCATTACATTTAAAAAAAAAATAATTAATGAAGAATCTGCATGAAGGTATGTTTGTTTCTGGCATTGTGAAAAAAAGGTAACTACAGATATTACATTTTGAATAACGTAGTCCTTCCCTCGAATATGGGCACCTGGAAGCGCGAATTTGGAATTTTATTATCTATTTCCTACTTTGTAAAACTTTAACGAGTTGTTGATTAACAAACTCAACGATTTCAAAGCGAGCAATGACAACACTACACGGGGAAAAAAAAAAAAAAAAAAAAAAAAAAAAAAAACTCTCAGCACGTGACGGACTGTGTTTGGAAATTCTAAAAAGATATGATCTTTTTAAAATTATTTGGATATTGCTGTTGAATTGAATTTTATGGTTTAATTGCAAAGAACATAATATTTAATAAATAAAAGAAACATATAAAACGTTAGAAAAAAAACGTCGCTTTGGAGATAATATAAAATGTCAAAAACCTTCAGATTCTTTTATTGTTTTAATTTAAATTAGAAAAGTAAATTATTTATTACCCCAAAGCGGCAATTTGCCCATAAGGGCTATTGATTTCGTTTTGGCATTTTACGTGGATTCGCTATTAACGGAGAATCACTTTTTAAACTGTTGCCACCAAATATTAGAGTCCTGTATTATATTTAAAGAAATTAAATGATGAAGAATCTGCATAAATGTATGTTCGCATTGGGATTAAAACAACGGTTCAAGAGCATTAACTTTGAATAACGACGTCTCCATCGAAAGGGCTCTGAGCCCAAATTGGAATTTGTTTTTACCTATTTCATATTTGTAAAGCATTAGGAGTTTTGATAAGAACTCACGATTCAAAGACATCAACGGCAGCACTAAAGAAAAAAAAAACATTTTTCTCTCGATAATTTTCATTTTTAAAGATATGTTCTTTTAAATATTTTGCGTATTGAGGTGAATCAATTTACAGTTCAAGTGGAAGAACATGAATGTAATAAATATAGGGAGTACAAAAAACATTAAAAAAACGTCCCTTTGGGCGCAATATAAAGTCAGAAAACTTTCAGATTTTTTTCTTTCATATAGTAAATATTTTTTAATTATTAATTTATATTTTTACATGGCGTTTAAAATCAAAAGATATAGTTATATCCTATTTATTAGTTAGGGCAAAGAACATTAAAGTAATCAATTTACCAGAGGGAAAAGAATCCCTTTACGGTACAGGACTTTGTTATCGCCTTATATTCAGGTTTCGCGTGAGACAAATCACGAGCGACCCAATGATTACAACTGACTAGAAGCGAATTTATCACGCTTTTCTAAAAAGACCCATTTCCGGGTTATATTTCGTTAACCTTTTTAAATATTTACTGGAAAATGCTTCGCTGTTAATGACATTTAGTACAGTAAGCACATAATTATTATTTAACAGTAAATGTCATATCAGTAATAATACAGAGATAA